GGTGCTGACGATGATGACGATGACGACGACGGTAACGATGGTGATGATGCTAATCATGATGATGATGATGCTCATGGTTATGATAATGATGATGCTGATGATGATGATGATAATGATGATGATGCTGATGATGATGCTGATGATGATGCTGATGATGATCATGATGCTGATGATGCTGCTTATGACGATGATGCTGATGATGATGATGAGGCGGAAGAGGAGGAAAATGAGAAGGAGCCGAGGTGGATGTTCCAAGTTTCAGTTCTGCCCTTGATCCTCGCCCTCTGGGTGGCCTGTAAATGAGCTAGCCTCGCCCACGCGCCTCAAATTGAGTTAGGCCCTCGAGGCTCGAGGACCAACCTTTTCGTGCGCTGTTTGTCTCTTCTGGGATGGGGGAGACAGGAGGAGGAGGAGGAGGAGGAGGAGGAGGAGGAGGAGGAGGAGGAGGAGGAGGAGGAGGAGGAGGAGGAGGAGGGAGGAGGAGGAGGAGGAGGAGGAGGAGGAGGAGGAAGACGAGGAGGTGACCAGTGGAGGAGGAGACGGGAAGGAGGAGAATCAGGAGAAGGAGGAGGATTAGGAGGAGGAGGAGGAGGAGGAGGAGGAGGAGGAGGAGGAGGAACATGAGCTCCTGGCGCTTCCTGTTGAGAGGGGTTCTGAGGGCCGCATCCGTCCAGGGAGGCAAAGGAAGGTCCGCAGCTCGAAGCTCGAAGGAGGAGCTCGAAGAGCGGATGGGGTGGAGCAGCTCGAAGCTTGAAGTTCGAAGCTCGAAGGAGGAGCTCGAAGGAGGAGCTCGAAGAGCGTATGGGAGGAGCTCGAAGCCCGAAGGAGGAGCTCGAAGGAGGAGCTCGAAGCTCGAAGGAGGAGCTCGAGGAGCAGGACCCTCAGAGGCACGAGCCCGCAGATTGTCGGCATGCCTCCGAGAACTTTCGAATACCGTTTGAAATCGCCGGCGACGCCGACCCGTCGCCGACGTCGGTGACGACGACGACGACGACGAGGCGATCGAAGAGGACGACGAAGACGACGCGGCGATTGATGACGACGAGGAGAACGACAAAGACCGCCGAAGACGAGGCGATCGACGAGCGCCGACGACGACGACAAGGCGATTGACGACGACGGTGACGCTGGCGCCGACGACGACAGGGCGATCGACGTGGTGACGGGGCGGTGGTAGTGGTCACGAGGACGACGACGACGGCGACGGCGACGGCGCCAAGGCGATCGACCGCGACGACGACGACGACGACGACGACGGCGAGGCGATCGACGACGATCATGACAAGGCGGTCGACGACGAAGCCGACGTCGACGCCGACCCAGCGCCGACGTCGACAGGACGACGACGCCATCGCCGACGACGACGAGGCGATCGACGTTGACGATGACGACGAGGCGATCGACGACGATGACGACAACGACCGCCGACGACAAGGCTATCGAAGGAGACGACGACGAGGCGATCGACCACGACGAGAACGACAACGATCGCCGACGACGACGACGGCATGGCGATCGACTTTGACGATGCCGCTTGCGCCGACGAAGACAGGGCGATCGACGTGTGACGATGAGTCGGTTGACATGATCACGACGAGGACGACGACGACGGCGACGGCGAGGCGATCGACGACGACAACGACGAGGCGATTGACGACGAAGCCGACGCCGACCCGACGCCGACGCAGACGTGCCAATGACGACGACGCCAGCGCCACCGACGACGAGACGACCGACGACGATGACGACGACGAGGTGATCGACGACGACGGCGACGACGAGGCGATCGACGACGACAACGACGACAACGATCGCCTACGACGACTTTGACGACGACGACGACGACGACGACGACGGTAAGGCGATTGATGACGACAGGGCGATCAACGACGACGCCAAGGCGATCGACGTGGTGACGACGAGGTGGTCGACGTGGTGACGTCGAAGCGATCGATGCCGACGGCGATGACGACGCCGGTGCCGACGCCGACCCGACGCCGACGCCGACGCGACGATGATGACGACGGCGGCGCCGACGGCTACGACGACGACGATGACGACCACGGCCACGACGACGACGACGACGACGACGACGACGACGACCGCGACCGCGACGACGACGACGACCACGGCCACGACGACGACGTCCGCGACCGCGGCGACGACGGTGACGATGCGATCGCCGGCGATGACGACGGCGAGGCGATCGACGACGACGACGTCTGTGACGACGACGACGACGACGACGACGACTACGACGACGACGACGACGACGACGACGACGACGAGGCGATCGACAACGACGACGATGCCGGCCGGGAGCGGCCGAGGCCCGCAGCCCCATGGCCGTCGCGGCGGCGTGGCTCGCCGCGTGCGCCCTGGCGCCGCTGCCCGCCCTCGCGGAGAGTCCCCTCCCTCCCTCCCTCCCTCCCCCCCTCCCTCCCTCCCTCCCTGGCTTCCCCCTGGCTTCCCCTCCCTCGCCTGCCTCTCCCTCCCCCCTCTCTTCCCCCTTCGGCCCGGCCGGCTCCCTCCTCCCTGGGTCCTCCTCCTCCCTCTGCCCCTCTCTCGCCCCTCCCGCCCTCCTTCCTTCCCTCCCTTCCCCGCCTGCCTCTCACTCCTCCCCCTCCTCCTCCTCCTCCTCCCCTCCTCCTTTCCCCTCTTCCCCCTCCTCCTCCTCCTCCTCTCCCTCCTCCTCCTCCTCCTCCCTCGTCCTCTCCTCCTCCTGCTCCCTCCTCTCTCCTCCTCCTCTCTTCTCTTCCTTCCCTTCCTCCCCCTCCTCTCTCCTTCTCCTCCTCCTCTCCTCCCTCCTCCTCCTCTTCTCCGTCCTCCTGCTCCTCCTCCTCTTCGTTCTCCCCTCTTCTCCTTTCTTCCTCTTCCTCCTCCTTTCCTCCTCCTTCCTCCTCCTCCTCTTCTCCTTCTCCTCCTCCTCGTCTTCCTCCTGTTCCTCCTCCTCCTTCCTCCTTCTTCCTCCTCCTCTTGCTCCTCCTCCTCCTCCTCCTCCTTGTCCTCCTCCTCCTTCGAGCACCTCATCCTCCTCCTCCTCTCCTCCTCTCCTCGTCCTCCTTCTCCTCCTCCATCCTCCTCCTCCTCCTCTTCCTCCTCTTCATTCTCCCTCCTCCTCTTTCTCCTCCTCCTCCTCCTTTCCTCCTCCTCTCCTCCTCCTCCTTCTCCTCCTCCTCCGTTCTCCTCCTCCTCTTCCTCCTCCTCCTCCCTCCTCCTCCCTCCTCCTCCTCCCTCCTCCTCCTCCCTCCTCCTCCTCCTCCTCCTCCTCCTCCTCCTCCCTCTTCGTTCCTCCTCCTTCCTCCTCCCTCCTACTCCTTCTGCTCCTAGTCCTCCCCTCTGCTCTTGTTGTTTTTACTTAGAGTGAACTTTCGCAGCGAAGTTGTAGCGCTTGTGTGGCAACGAAAAGAGCCGCCTGAGCGCGGAACTGAGCGGCGCCGTAGGTGCAGCGAGAAACGGACCACACGGAGAGCCCGCGAGGGCAAAGAGTATTAGCTCCAGTTTTCTCCTCCGTCCTGGCCCCCGTGGCTGCCCTGCCGCGTGTTGCCTGAGCTGGGCGCGAGAGCGCGCGGCCGCGAGGACGCATTGGGGGCCCTGCGGGGAGGAGGCTCCGCGAGGCCGCTCCCTCTCTCCCACGGCCGGGGACTCTGGGATAGCGCGCCGCTCCGCCGCGGCTGGGCCACCGCGCTGCGGCACGACGCGCTGCAGTCAAGGCCCACAGTGAGGACGAGCGGCTTTCCAAGGTTGCCCGTTGTTCATTTCGAAGTCTTCGTGGGCTCTTTGATTCTTTTGGGGGCCAGGCCTTTCACTTCTAACTCTTCTATCCTGGGCCTCTTCCTGGCCACTGGGGGGGGGCAGGGACAATTAGAAACGACCACATATTGAAATGAGCACGATTAGACATGAACGACGTGTACCCTTGCATCCTTGCCCCTCTGGCCCATCCCTGGCGAGTTTCGCTTGCCGCGACCCGCTCGAAAATCGTCGGCGTGGCCCTCCGCGGTCGCCAGCGAGTCTACGTTTTGACTGTGTCCACGTCGCGGCCGCCAGGCGTCCACGTGCCGAGCTGTTCCCAGCCGCCGCCCCGCGGAGTGCAGCGAAACGCTGTCCGCATGCAGGTTGTAGCCTGTCTCTGGGGCCGCCGCTGCGTTCCGCTAAGCAAGCGTTCTCCACCGTAGAACGTTACTCCCGCGAGGTTAGATTCAGTATCGGCGCTGGTATTTCCATCGTCGACGCCTGGCCTGATCTGGCGTGATCCAGTTGAAGTCCGCTCAATCCCGCCTACTGTGGCCAAGACGGGCTCAGTCATAGGTAGGCTTGGCCGGGCCGATCTGGCAGAATGGCTCCACAGCCAGGCTCAATAGAACGTAGTTGATCTTACCAAGCCCTCCAGGGAGTTGCTCCTTAACCTCCTTCCTTCTCCGCTCCTTTCCTCCTCTTTCGTCTCTCACCCGTGCCCGCCGCCATTTGAGCTCAAGCTATTGTGGCGCAAGTCGGCTATATGTGATGTGCTCTTTTGTTTGCTCTGCTTGATTGTCCTGCATTCTCTTTGGACGGATTATGTTCATGCGTCTTTGTCTTGTCTCTATGGGCGTCCCTTGAGGCTCATATCGCACTATTCGTCGCAGCACCGCTCTTGATTGCAAATGGCTGCCCATGGTCAGGGGCAGGCTCTCTTATCGGCTACGCGGCTTCGTATCGGACAGCTGGGGGTCGCTGGGCAGGTGCTGAGGCATTTGGCGGCCCCGTGGGCTGACCGGTTCTTCTTCGGTATTGAGCTCGAGCTTCAACGTGCATGTCCCGAACATGAGGTTTGTTTTTCGACGCTATGCGCACCTGGCTGAGGCGCGGGAGGCGGGCGACTGAGTCAACATTCAATTCGTCAGCGCCTGTGTTCATGCTCGTTTCCGTGCCTCCCAGTTTCTGTGCCTGGGCTGCTTCACGACGCTCATCGAGTGTATGATGAACAGCTGGCGTCCTACAGTGCTCTAGCGGGGGACATGAATAGCACGATCGCGATGTTCAAGGGCAGGCTGAAAGCTTCTACGTCTTCGCCTGCCAGTGGCCAGACGGAGTGCTCCGATTCTGCTGTACATGACAGTGTGAGTATTGATGGTGATGCATTCCATGCGGGCGTCTTCCAGCAGCAGCTTGATGAATTGATTGCGAACGTTGATTTGACAGTCAAGGCTGCCATGGCATGGGTCCTCCGCCTTCTCCCTGGCATGGTAAAGAACATGGTCAACATCCTCCCCGAGGTGGCGAAAGTTCTGGTTCACAATGCGTGTTCTCGGCCAGGCGCGGTGCAGCTGTGGCGCCACTGTCCCTCTCCTGTGGCCTGCCGTGGAGGGTAGCTGTTGGAAGCCTTGGACATTGCACTGCGTCTGCTGAGAACCGCATGGATCAACAGCCTCGTGTTCCAACCAGTCGTGCGCAGGACCAGCTCTCCACTATCCTTTGTCGGTGGAGTCGTCGCGCGTTCACGGGCGGCATCGTGCGGATCGTCTCGAAATGGAGGAAGCGATTCGGCCCACCAGTCGCGATGCAGACTAAGAGTATGGTGAAGGGACCTCAACCCGCGATGGGGCATCTAGTGCGACGCTCTGCCAGTGCGGTCGCGGCTCTGGCCGAGGTAGTTGCGTCTTCTGTCATCTGGGTGGGCGAGAAATCGACAAACTCACCAGGGAATCGCCGATCGCCTCGACTCAGCCCGCGCGGGTCGTGCCGTCGGCAAATTCCAACAAACCTCAACGACGTGGACGTATATCGGACTAGTTCGGGAAGAGGATGTTCATGAGACGGTGAGGTGCTCGGTGATTTTCTTAGTTGCGCCGAGGAGGTCCCAGATGCGCAGGGCTTTCTTTCCGCCCCAGCTGCTGCGTGACATGCGCTCCTCGGCCAGGCATCCGTAGACGGATGCCGACGGACAGCGTTGGCGATTTCTCGGTCTGCGCGTGTATCCCGCTCCCCATCGTACTACTACTGCTCTGTTTCGTCGAGGTTATCATTGAAAAGGGCCCCAGCCTTCGTTTACTCCCCGTCGCTCGGGGTGCGGTTCCGCTGCGTTTGTGAATGTAGTCGATTTTTTGTGCACGCTCGTCCTGGTCTCGTCCGTGTCCTCTTTGTCCTCTTGAAACAGCTCCGTTCGGTAAAACCCGATTACCTACTTAGAAGCCTTCTTGGAACAGGAGAGCCAGGTCACGGGAACAATCAGCATTTGCACGGGCCGTGGCGGGAGCCTCCAGACGGTTTCTTCTTGTCTTCTCCCTCCCGATCCTCTGATTCGTCACGGGCTTGCGCTCCCAGTCAATATGAGCGCGATCGTGTTCATGAGCAGTGCACTGTGCTGCCACTCTGATAAGAAAGGTGCGGCACGCTGTTTCCAATCCCCGGGCGCATTCTGCATTCGTTACGTTCTGGCAAGCAGCGCAGGTTGCCATCGGCATGCAATGTCTGACGACGTTCGGCGCTCAGCTGCTTGCGTTCCTCCGCCTCCTGCACCTGCGCCTCTCGTCTCGCGGGTGGGGGTGCTCCCCTTCGCATCTGGACCCCATGAACAAGAAAGGGACAAAACTGTTCCTTGGTCGCTCGAGGTCTTTAGTATGTTGGTTCCCCCCCTTTGCCCTCGGCGGTGAACAGGGCTGGCCCAAAAGCCTCTCCCTCCTCCTCCTCCTCCTCCTCCTCCTCCTCCTCCTCTTCCTCCTCCTCCTCCTCCTCCTCCTCCTCCTCCTTCCTCCTCCTCCTCCTCCTCCTCCTCCTCCTCCTCCTCCTCCTCTCCTCCTCCTCCTCCTCCTCCTCCTCCTCCTCCTCCTCCTCCTCCTCCTCCTCCTTGCACCTCCGCCCCCGGGGGCCGGCGCGGGTGGGGGAGGGGGGGTGGCGGGCGGCGCTGCTTCGGCGTCGGAGGCGAAGGGGGGGGCCTCTGCGGGCAGATGGGCCAGGAAGGAAACGTCGACACAGGCCCGGACAAGGGCTTCTGTCCATGAACATCGGCGCGCGCACGGGCAACGGGAAGATGAGAACCCTTAAGCATATGGTAGATGATGTGGGATGAATGCGGGATGCAACACTCTGGGGGAAACGGGTACAGACACGTACAAACGCTGGTCATCGAGAGTAGCAGAAACCCTGGATTGAGGAGGTCTTCCCTTTTGAACACCCCCTATTCTCCCAGCGGGGAGTAAACTAGTCTGTCCCCCTTCTCCTCCTCCTCCTCCTCCTCCTCCTCCTCCTTCTCCTTCTCTTCTCCTCCTCCCCCTTCCTCCTTCTCATGTCGGTTCTCCCCCTCGTCCTTATTCTGCTCCTTTTCGTGATCGTTATCGTTGTCGTCGTCGTTGTCGCGGCGGCGAGTCAGTGGGCGGAGTTGATAGTGTTGAGGTGTTATCTCTCGCCCAAGAAATAGCCATTTATGGGGTACCATACACGCGAAATAATGCGTGAGTATCTTCTCACGGGGACTGTAACAGGAGTTGGTGTTTGTGGATGGAGTCGGGAATGCAGTCGTGTTTGTAATCGTGATCGGGATCGTGATTGTATTCGCGAGTGTAGTTGTAATCGTAGTCGTGGTTGTAGTCGCGATCGTAATCGCATAAGTAAACGTAATCGTCGTCGTCATCGCGGCGGACATCATTTCCCCGTTATTGTTGGGCGGGCTGGATAATGTTGGTTCTCCCCCCAGGGAATCGTCCATTGTGGGCGTCCCTACACGCGGGAACTTGTGTGAGTTTTTGCATGAGGACTGCAATCGGAATCAGTGGTTGTGGTCGTAGTCGTGTTTGCAATCGTGATTCTTAGGCTTACGCCACACCGCCGACCCCTTGTTTATGCCAATCTGGGGGTAGTAGAAGCTGCGAAGGGGTGAAAAGGCGAGTGATATTTGTTTGGTGTCTGTTCGCCGCCACCGCCAGAGGGTCTCGGGCAGTTCCGCGGGGGGGTCCGAGCGGACGGCGACACCGCGGGCGGTCGTGGTCTCATCTGGGGCCATCTGAGAGGCATAATGGAGCCAGGTTGGGCTCGGGAATGTCTTCGAGCCGTTTCGGTAGCGGTCGGGAGTTTTTTTGGGGGACTGCCCAGGAGTCATGATGGGTCAACTTGGCCATGTGCGAGGCCACGGCGCGTGCAAAGGGTGTGCCGGCATGGGGTATACTTGCATGCGAATGTTCCCACTGGGCCCCACGGTGGACGTATTCTGGAGCCACGAGGTGGAGGAAAAGGAGGAGGAGGAGAAGGGGGACACGGAGAATCGGCTCTGGGTTATGGGTTATGGGTTAGAGGCGTCTTGTATGTGTATCGGGATCTCGCGACACGCCTCTCGGGGGCCTATGGCAGGCAGTTTGGAACCACTTGGGGGCCCAGGGGGAGGAAAAGGAGGAGGAGGAGAAGGGGGACACGAAGAAACGGCTCTGGGTTATGGGTTATGGGTGAGAGGCTTCTTGTATGTGTATCGGGATCTCGCGGATCGCTTCTCGGGGGCCTCTGGAAGCGAGTTTTGGAGCCACGTGGGGGCCGTTTCGGAGCCTCTGGGGTGCTTTTTGGGGGTTCCTTGGGGCGTCTGGGCGGCCTCGTGAGGGCCTCTTGGGGCACTCTTGGGGCACTCTTGGGGCCCCCTGGGGCTCCTGGGGGCAGAAAGCTAGAGTTTCAACATGTTTGGTCGCCCTCTTGGGCCCCTCTTGGTGCCGTCTTGGAGCCCTCTTGGGCCGTTTTGGGGACCTCTTGGGCCGTGTTGGGGCCGTCTTGGGCCGTCTGGAGGCCGTCTTGGGGGCCTCTTGGGCCATCTTGGGGCTGTCTTTGGGGCCTCTTTGGCCGTCTTGGAGCGTCGGGAAGCCGAAAAGGCGGAAAAGCAAAAAACATCGGAAAACACTATGGAAAATCAACAATTTTAGACTCTTGGGGCCCTCTTGGGAGGCTTGTTTGGGACCTCGGGGGCCGTCTTGGAGACCTCTTGGCCCGTCTTGGGGCCATCTTGGGCGTCTTGGAGCGGTCGTTTGGCGTCTCGGGGCCTTCGTGGGCCGTCTTGGAGGCCTCTTGAGGGCTTCTTGGCCCGTCTTGAGGCCCTCTTGGGCCCGGAAAAGCCCCGTGAACCGCTCGTCCCGGCCGTGGTGCGCTCGTCCCGGACCCCCCCCCCCCTCCAAATCGACCGGACCGGGCTCCCGGGGGAGGGGTTTGGGGAGGGGGAAGCATCTCACACGCCGATGATCCCCAAGGGGTCGGCGGATTGTAGTCGTGATTGTGGTCGTGCTTGTTGTCGTGGTTGGCGTAATCGTAGTCGTCGTCGTCCACAGACCTAGCCCGGGTTTCGTGCATAGCACAATGAACACGTCGCCTAAGTCAGGTCCCCACGCATGCATACGGGATGACGGATGTTAGTGGTTTGTTTTTGGTGCATTTGCAGATAAGGACCCCGTCTACATTTCATGCCTCGGACCTCTCATGTTAGGTCCGTTCCCAAAGAGATAGGGGTTCTTTTGCTGCTAATCAGCCGATGTCCACAACAAGTCAGGGCTGATGCAGGAACAGCAGGAGAGAATGTGGGACATGGGGAGCATTACGAAAATCCATGTGTGTCCCCTCGGGCCCCTGATCAGTCAAGCAGGAGGTCACGACGTGTGGTTGCCCAGTTGCGCCGCAGGTGGGCACACGCACGAAGCCAGTGTTCGAGGAGACTCAATCCCGGATTACGGCGCCTGGATTGCCGACGGGCCTTGCCCCCGTGCAAAACACGAATCGCACCGTCACCAATGCAGGCGGCATTTGTCTTACCCGCCCCCGCGTGCCAGATCGACGGGCCAGTAATCCATGTTAGCGTGCGCCTGGTTTCTGTTCTTCGTCTTCTGAGAGGAGACTGAGGAGATCCAAACATCCGATGCCCTGATGTATTCAATACGGGATCCCCGAAAGGCCCCAACGCTTTGCCCCGGGCGGCGTTCCATCCCGAACCGTTTTCTGACGGTCTTGGTGTCCATTGAGGGGCCCTTGAGGCCGAAATTTAGCAAACACGTTATGTGGTGATGCCTTCGTAGAAGAACAAGAAGAAGAAGAAGAAGAAGAAGAAGAAAGAGAAGCTGAATTAGTGTAGTTTGTTCACGGTCCGCGCAGATGTCTTGGATCTGCGCTGATCCCTCTGGCGACGCCGGAGGCGCAGCCCCCTGGCGCGCCCCGCGCGCCAGGGACGGGGGCCAAGTTCAGATCCCAGAAATCCTCGCGGAGCGTCGACGTCCGTGTGTTTCTGAACGCCAGAACTGCAGGACGCGAGCAGGTCTGGGGAAGGGGGGGTCCTCCGCCCGCCGTCGGCGGTTGAAGGATGGGGCTCCTGAGGGATGGGGTCCTCGGGATGGGAAGGGGTCCAAGGGTGGATTTA